GCTTATACCCCCTTATTAAATTCGCCTTGCACGAGGCCGTTATTGCCAAATAAGCAGTCCAGCATCCTTTGGTTCTGCTCCGTAGTAGCTCCTGCTCTTCTTTTTTTCATATTTAGGGGATTCCCTTAAGCTCGAAAGTGGCTCGAAAACCACGAAACCTCGAAACTTTTCCAGCCTCGAAAAACAACTGTCAAAAATTGTATGAGTGGCGATTTTCGCGTGCCTCGAAAACTTTCGAGGCAAATTAGTCGCGAAAAAAGCCTCGAAAAGTCGTTCGTAAGTTTCAGTGTTGCCTTTATAATTGTTGACTGCGTTTTGATCAATAAATTCATACAATTTACATTTTTCACTTTTTCGTGGCATTTTCAATGCTGATTTTATATGTATTTATTTCAGCTGATGCGATGTATTATGCAGCGTTTTTGCTGCATTTAAAATGCAACATTTAGCACTTTCGAACATATGTTTTCGAAGAGCGTTCATGCTATCGCATTTAGCAAATGTACATTTACGTGAGTTCGAAATCGTATGCTTTTGACAAACAGCCGTGTTCCAGTCGCTTATTCAGATCCGTATCTATTACGATCAATTCTCACGAAAAAGATAATGTGCAAAAAACCCTACTGAAAAGGAAAAAAAATTTAAACCAAAAATTCAATACAAAATCTCGAATTGTTTTAACCATAACCGAAAATTTGTTTGTGTATATATTCATTTGTCGGTGATGTCAATTAAAATTTCCTCACTTAATTAGGAAACAAAACGAACAGAGTTGATCACAAATTGATCCAGATTTCTATCAGCATCACATCGATGTTGAATCACTGAAACGCAGCTAGCCACTGTATACGCGAAAAAAGCAATGTTGCCACTTTTTTTCATTAAACCATGTTCGAATCGTGGAAATTTTGGAAGATCCCAGGGTTGCTTTTAGCATTTAGATTCTTAATGCAAAAATGGAGTTGCATTTAGTTGCATTTAGGTGACGAATTTTGTATGGATAAATGTACATTTAGAGTAGCATTTAGAGCTAAATGCGCTAAATGTGCTTTTACGCGTAAGCAAAAACAGCCCATTATACAAAAAACTCTGAATGAGCTGTCAAACTTCGGAATTTCTCCATTGTTTACGAGGCTGAAAAAAGGTGCATTCCCAAAAACAGCCTCGAAAACTTTCGAGGTTTTCGAGTTTTCTGCTCTTCGCGTTTAAGGGAATCCCCTAATTGTATTCACAAACAACAATCCCTACACAATAATACGCGCAACAATAACAAGTTTCTTTTAAATATTGAGTGTCAAACGTCAATATTGCCATATTTGGCTTTGTAATTAACGACAATCGCCGTAAACTTCTTTATCGACATGTCTAGATAGATAGTTGGTTGGGTATGGCACTGCGACCAATAGGTCTATTGTGCCCCTAGCTCATCACAATACATCAACCAGCCCCAGAGTGTCTATAAATTTCATAATAGACCCCGGGGACAGTGAGTGTATGTGCTCCTCTCTTGGCCAGACATGCCCTATGCTCCTATACCTCCTGCGTGCAACGGCATCACACTCCATAAGAAGGTGTAGGGGGGTCTCTTTGGCTGCATCGCAAAAGCGACACAGGTCGCTGGACCAGATACCTAATTTATGCAGGTGCCCTCTGAGCCTACAGTGGCCCGTTAAAAAACCTGTAATAATCCTTAGTTTCTCTTTCGGGAGATCCATGAGAAGCCTGTATCTTGACAGATTGTAACCTCCTAATAAGCTTTTTGCCTGACGTTGGCCCATGGTGCCAAGCCAGTGTAATTCCCTCAGTTTGCTGTTGTCCCTTCTGAGCATTTCCTTTATGGTGTTTGGTCCTACTGCCAGAAAGGGCTCAGGTCCTATCGGGGTCGAGGAAGCGGCCGTTCTGGCCAGATGATCAGCTTCCTCATTTCCTGCGACCCCCATGTGCCCTGGTACCCACATTAGTTGGATATCATTGACCTCCGCCAGAGCATTGAGCCTCTCGACACACTCCCTAACCAAGGAGGACTTGATCTCGAATGATGCGAGGGCCTTTAATGCCGCCTGGCTATCACTTAGTATAAGTATCCTTTCATTCCTATAGTTCCTGCGAATATTAATCTCAGCGCACATACTGATGGCATAGACCTCCGCTTGAAAGATGCTGGGGAAAGTCCCCAGGGACACCGAAAGCTTCAGCCTAGGGCCGTACACGCCTGCTCCAATCCCCGCGGGTGTTTTAGAGCCGTCCGTGTACCACTGTATTGTGCTCGCCTGTATGTGACTCTCCATAATAGAGGTACACCAGGTCGCCTTGCTATAAGTGTGGGTCCTGAAATTTCTCTTGAATATCACCTCTCTGTTGATATCGTCCCTGGGGAACAAAGCCAGGGGGAGCTGGGTGCCTAGCTTGTCCCTGTTCCTAGATGATAACACCTTGCCTTTGCCGAAGCCCTCTCTCGCAAAGTTAAGGAGGGTTCGCTTTGCAGCCTGTTCAATTGAGAGATGCAGTGGCTCGAGTTGCAGCATTACCTCTAGCGCTGCCGTCGGGCATGTGCGCATTGCTCCCGTAATGCAAACACATGCCAGACGTTGAATCTTGGAGAGGGTCTGCCTCACCGTTCCTATAGTAGTCCTGCAATACCAAGCCACCGCACCATAAGTCACTATTGGTTTCACTATCATTGTGTACATCCATCTGAGGATCCTCGGAGTGCACCCCCAGGATTTACCCGCCAGACGTTTGCACACCATCATCGCTCTCGTGGCCTTAGAGGTGACCGCATCTACATGGGCCCTCCACAGAAGCTTGGAGTCCAGGGTAAGCCCCAGATACCTAACCTCTGTGGCGAAACTGATTGCGACCCCGTCCAAGGTCAAGTTCCTCATCCCCTGGAGATTTCGTTTCTTGGTGAAGGGGACTATGGCTGTCTTAGAAGGGTTGATATTTAGACCTACGTCTGTGCACCACCTTTTCGCAAGGTTAAGTCCTTTTTGGACGATGTCACAGAGAGTACCTGCGAACTTCCCTCTAGCGATAATCACTATGTCGTCCGCGTACCCTTGGCAGCGGACGCCCTCGTTAGTGAGTATCTGTAGGAATTCGTCCACAACTAAGCTCCACAGTAGAGGAGATAATACCCCCCCCTTGTGGGCACCCTTTAGTCGTTTGTATTTGAACGACGCTGTCACCGACTTCAGTTTCGGCAATCCTGGTCTGAAGTAACCTTGCTATCCATCTTCGGATGGTTGGCTGAACGTTATGTTTCCCAAGAGCTCTGTCGACTCCCAAATGGGAGGCGTTATCGAAGGCCCCCTCGATATCGAGGAAGGCACAGAGCACCACCTCATCACACTCAAAGGCCCCTTGTATTTCCTCCGTTAAGGCATACAGCGCAGTATCCGTGGATCTCCCCACCCTGTACGCGTGCTGGTTGGAATGCAGAGGGGTTTGTTTTAGAGTGTTATACTATAGCAAATAATAAGTTATTGGTTGGAGTTTGATCACCAATTGGTTTACTTTATTGATTTCACTTTCTTTTATACCAAATTCTTACACTAACACTTACAAATTATTTACGAACTAGAATGTATACAAATATACTACTAATACCTACAAACTAACTACATAACTCTAAAATATGCTAAGTCAACATATGGTTGCAATAAATATATAAATATGTCAGTCGCATTGACAAACTGACGTTGTGGATCAGTTAGTCACTGCGACTGTCTTTGGCGGTGTCTTTGACCGTCCGCACAAGTGTAACAAGATCCTCGCTATGTGCGATGAATGCAGTCTTTGCATAAACTCCCGCTGAGTTCAATGTAACTGATTTGGGTAAACTGTTGTTTGTGTACATTCCTATTTGTTTATACATTACTTATGTGCACATGACAATTAAAGTAAAAAGGGCGATGTGCTTATGCTACAATACCTGATTTCATGGTCAATAATTTTCTCCATTGCCTTTAACATAAAGGATGTGAGACTTATCGGCCTGAATGACTTGGCAAGAGAGTAGTCCCTCTTACCTACCTTCGGGATAAAAGTAACCCTAGCCCTTTGCCACACCTTGGGAATGTGAGCCAGTGCTAGACTGTCCCTCATAATGTCCACCAGATGTGGCAGTAAGAGCTCCCCGCCCTGCTTTAGTAGCGCCGGACATACACCATCCACCCCAGGGGCCTTGTACCGTTCGAAGGAGTCCAGAGCCCACCGCACTGTTTGCCGGTTTATAAGGCTTCTAGCCACCTTCCAGTCCGGTGGGGATGGCCTGAACGCACGGAACAACGTATCCCCAGCGGTGGGAATGGCGTCCGATGTGGGCCGATAGCAGGGCGAGTGCCCTCTCCTGTTCATTACCTGAAAAGGCCCCATTAGGTAGCCTAATAGCCAGTCTGGTCCCTGTGTTGTCTCTCGCTAAGGCTTTATGCAGCCTAGCAGCTGCAGGAGTAGATGCGATATTCTCACAAAAGGTTCTGAAGCTGCTACGCTTGGCCTTCCTAATCTCCTTATTGTATTTTGTTAGACAGACTGAGTACTCCTCCCAGCTCCCGGTGCGCTTTGCCCTGTTGAAAAGTCTTCGCACATCTTTCCTAAGAACTGAGAGTTCCCGTGACTACCAGGGAGGCTGAGCTTTCCCTTTTGGCTTTGACACGGGACAGCTGGAGGTAAAGGCATCCAAAATGGTGCCGTTCAGCTTGTTGACCCTGTCCTCTAACTCCATACAATCCACCTTTCTATGTTGTGCCTCTATTCTGCTTAGGTTCAACCTAAGTACCTCTTCATATTTATCCCAGTCTGTTTTCCTGGGGTTCCTCTTTGGGTGACCTGTCAGAACCTCAGCTCCCAGTGCAAATCGGATAATCCTGTGATCCGACAGTGAGGGCTCAGATGAGACCCGCCACTGAACGATCAGAGGGCTGGCCAGTCTGTTGCTGAGAGTGATGTCGAGTACCTCCTCTCTGACCCTGGTTATGAACGTTGGTTCATTACCGACATTATGGATGCACAGGTCTTCACTGATAATATATTCTAATAAGCACTCACCCCTACGGTTTGTGTCCGAGCTGCCCCACTCTATATTGTGGGCGTTCGCATCGCAGCCAAGAATCGCCGGAAGTCGTTTCCTGCGGCAAAATTCCAGCAGCTGCTGTACCTCAAGAGGCGGCACGTTGGCGTTGTCCCCCGGAAAGTAGGCTGCAGCCAAGACCACCTCCAGTTCCTTCCCGTTGACCCTTAAGGTAGCTTGGACCGCTACCAGATCCTGTGTAAGAAATTCTGTAATGCAAAAGTAATTAATATTATTCTTTAGCACTACGCACGCTCTGGGCCTCTCGCAGGAAAGGTCCCAAATTACCTTATTGTTGTTATGATTGAGGCCCCTCACCTGGCCTCTGTAGGTCCACGGTTCCTGAATCAGTAGGATTCCCAGGTCCTCCGTGGCAAACCTGCTTGCAATGATCGCCGAGGCGGCCACCGCGTGATGCAAGTTGACCTGGGCTACTGTTAGCGCTGTTGGGCTCATAGTTGGGGCTCGTCCTCGATGTTCGAGAGCCGTGCCTCACCCTCGCCCTCTCTGTCGAGTTCGAGCCTGCTTATGTCCGCTAGGAGCTCTTGTGTGGTGCGCATGTAGTCGGTGACACTTGGCCCGGGAGCGCTCACAAGAGCTGGTGCCTGTGCTAATTCCGATAGCTGATCTCCCAGTGGGGCCGTGGTCGACTCGGTCGCTGGGGCAGCAGTGGAGTCAGTAGTCTCGTCGACTTGCATGTCTTGGGACTCTGACTCCTTGCTGCCTGTCGTCTTATGCCGCCATGGCCGCACCGTAACAAAACTGTACCGGAAGTTGATTGTGAATCCGGCCCTCTTAATGCTGACATACGACGCCTCATCGATCCCCAGGTTGAGCCTGAGACCGTTATCTTCGGCGCCGCATGAAACCACCTTCCACGCAGCAGTGTGGATGTCCTCATTCTGGGCCTTGATGAGCCCCAGCACGTACTCCGCCGATTTATCGGCGCATCTTGGGAAGAACACCGAGATATTATGCACCGGCGGGATATCATCCCCCCTCTTGGTACATAACGCGGGCCCCTCCCATCCCTCAATGTTTGGTGCCTTATCCACCAGCCATGCTGCGGTCCGCTCATCCTTGCAGTCCACAAGGAGCATACCTGACCTGAAAAATACCCCACAAAAGACCAGTGCGTGCTTCCACCCTTTAAGGACCTCATCCATGATGGCGTCCTGGAGTTTGGTCAGGTCCTCAGGGCTTAGGGCAGCAGCAGGGTAATCACAGGGCAGTACAGCCACCCGGATGCCTTTAAGAGCATCTGAATAGCTAGGCTGCTTAGTGATTCCCTCCTGTGGCTGACCCTGGCCCGCGGACCCATCCAAGCCCCTAGACTCTGTTGGAGGGGGTGGGAGCCCCCGCGGCCGTTTGGGGGACGGTGGCTCAGGTGGTGTGACCTGTAGGCTGGTGCGTTTTGGAGTAGCTGTTGTTGAGCCTGTTGTGGTACCTGTAGGTTCCCCGCTTCTCCGCCATTTGGCGGGCGCGGGTCTCTGCTGCTGTTGCCCGCTTCTCTGCTTTTCAGCAGGCGCGGGTTTCTGATGCTGTAGCCCGCTTCTCTGCTTTTCAGCAGGCGCGGGTCTCTGCTGCTGTTGCCCGCTTCTCTGCTTTTCAGCAGGCGCGGGTCTCTGATGCTGTTGCCCGCTTCTCTGCTTTTCAGCAGGCGCGGGTAGTTCACCTCTCTGCTGCATACCAGCGGTTGCAGCCGTCTTACCACTCTCTTGTGCCTCTTTCTCGACCTCTTGCCTTACTTCCGCCATTGCGCGGGCTACGCTCGGCTTCTTCCCCTGCTCCAGGTACCGGAGATACCACTTGACCCCCGATCCACTAAGACCAGCTCGATGGTGGTCGTCAAGGGCTCCCGGTTGACCGGAGGGCGGAAGTGGAGGCGGTCTACACCTGCGGCTTCTCTTTTTGCTGTCTTGCAGCTGCCACCCTGACTCGAGCGATGAGGTTCGACTAGGAGACCTGCGGTGCCTACTGCTAGAGCGGTGCCCACTGCCTGAGCGATGCCTGCTCTTCGAGCGATGCCGACCCTCGGATCGGCCTCGGCTCCCCGAGCGGTCATGGCTCCGGGAGCGGTCACGACTCCTGGAGCGACGCCAACTGGCCCCCCGGTTCCTGCTTGGCGATCGGTGCCTGTTTTTTGAGGCCAGAGCCTCTGCACCCTTGGTGCCCTCCGACCGAAGCTGCGCCCGATCCACGCCGCCACTGCTAGTGCTTGGCCTCTCATCTTCTCTGGCGTGTTCAATAAAAAGGGCAGCCTCCTCCTCGGATAGGCTCGCAAGAAAGCCTCCCCTGCGCCTGGTGCCTTTACCTTCGCCCAGCATAGAACTGCCGAGCTTGACCGTTGGTACCTTTGGTGCCCTTGACATAACTGTCTTCGTGGCTGCTGCTGCTGTTGTAGCTGTAGTTGTGACTGTTGTAGAGGCTGTTGCTGATGGTGTGGCTGTTGCAGCTGTTGTGGCTGTAGTTGTAGCTGTAGCTGTAGCTGTTTTCGCGGATTTCGCGATGGTTTTTGTTGTTTTTGTTGTTTTTATGTTTTTTTGGTATCGACATGTCTAACGAATTCTGTCGTTAAGTGTGTTTTTGAGAAT